TTACTTACTTACTTACTTATATTTTAACTCACTGGGGCTCTTCTGAGATTCTGGATATGCTCTTAATTATTTTTAGAAATCACATTGACATGGTGAAGTATTTATTGTGGATTAAGTTTCACAGAGCAAATTAGAGCGTCGTGATACTAGAGACTTGGTTTCTCAAGACCTGGACAACCCCAGCAGCCTCTAATCTATTGTAAACACCATCTGGGTTTCCCCCCTCACCTTTGAACGTGAAGCTTCTGTATTTGCCAAAAACCTGCTGTATGTGGGCTGAACTATCAGCTGCTTGGTGAACAGGACCACAGAGGCAGTGACCTTCCTCACTTCAGGTCTGTTAAAAGATGTTTCAGGAACAAAACCACACTGCTGGGAGGGAAAAAGAAGTTTATACACTCTGAAATAGAAATGTGTTAAATAGAAATAAAACCAAAAGACAATAATTTGCTTATCTCATAAACCCACATTTTATTAACAGGGGAACATAAAAAACAAAATGAACGTTTAAACTAAAAAACCAGGAGAAACTAATCTTAAAAAATATGTCAGGATCATGTTTATTACTGGAAAGCATCCCCTCTTCAAACAAGAGAGGAGAGCAGCTGCTGGAGGTTTGGCAGGAGAACATCTTAACTTCTGGACACTGAGTCCAGATAAGATGTTATGTTTGACGCAGGATTAAAGTCATTCGACACAGTCACATTTTTGTGTCACAATGCACCAAATGTTTTCAGTGAGAGAGGCCCTCCCTCTCACTTCACTTTGTTTAATTTTTTTTAATCATCCTGTAACATGAAAACTCAACTCAAGCTGCCTCTTTGTATAGACTTTTCTCCAGAACTACAACAGTGCCGTCGGAATTGTTTAATGTCCAAATTTAATAATAATTTATTTTTATCTAACCACTTTGATTAATTTAATTCTGGATATGATGAAGTCAAGTTTATTTTATATTTAAACATATAAGTAACATTTTATAACAACGGAACGTGAAATAATTACTTTATTATGGTATAGAATTTAAATA